GTACAATACACGAGTCATGGGGGGGGGGGGAGGCGCATTGCAGGCTTTGCAGCCTAGTCGATTAATAACCACATATTAAAGCCATCATGCTTCTTTTTTGCTTTATAGGAGATGAGACGCAAAACAAACATACAAATCTGAGTCGTTTCCTTCAGCCAGTGCTAAAGCACATCCATAAGCTCCCTTGTGTAGCCAACAGTAAACATCCACCCCTATAGTACTCCCTGCTAACTCCGAGATACAAATCGGCTGCTGGATCGATTTTAACAACGGTAAAAGCCCTTGAATGCCCATCTCACTCACGACAAAGTCAATCGACGTGAAATTTAATTGGTATTAATTTCTTTTTATTTCACAGCTTTACCAAGGTCTTTAAGCATTGAATTCAACGATGTAGACGCTTCATTCAGATTGCAATAAATGCGCGTAAATAATCAGCATTTATACAATAGATTTTGAAAAATATAAACGATATTGTTTCAAGTCTATATTTTTACAAACGTGAACATTTGTCTCAAATATTCGCGCCATCACGCGGGTTTTCCGGAACCCGAACTTATCCCGATATAGTGCCGATTGTTGTACGCTCACTTTACGAATATCCGACCCTGATCTCAAATATATAACTAAATAAAGTTCTTTATATTTCTTATGTCCCTTTTGAATTGAATTTGATGGACAATTTTTTATAGACAGAATACCTATGAGAATAGATTATTGAATGTTTGAAAGTCTTCACAAATCAAACTGTTATATATGTGTTTTTACTTCGGAATTTCCAAAATTTTGCAAGGCTGATCCAGTATTAATTTTGCGATCAGCGAAGTAGCTGGTGACGTGTTTACAAACATGGCGACTGAAAGGCAACAAGAAACTTCAGTGCCTTTATATTCAGTTTCGTCTCAGCAAAACACCGCGGATTCCTACAATTCAAATAGACCTGTACAAGATGAGTTTATGTTTCGTAGTTCGTCGCCTGACTCGAATGCGGATTATTTTGGGAGCATAGATAATTCTCAGTCAAACGCTGGGGGTGACAGCAACTCGAATGCGTACAATTTGGGCAGTATTTTTACTAGGAAGAAATTTGCGTGGCTTTTAGAAATAGATGATACTGGAGATGATGATGATGTGGATAAACCTCTGTTGTAAGTTTTGGGTAATTTTTTGGTATACCAGAAATTAAGTGAAATGAAAAATAGCAAAGTTGTCAACAAGACAACAAACTAGTTGACAAGGTAGTAAGCTTTTATATCAAGTTGCTACAAGGTTGTCACTCACAACTTGTTGGCAAATTGTTGAATTGCAGGACGATAACAAGCTGTTGGGACAACTTGTAACAAGTCTGTTGAACTCGACCATTGATGTCATCTGTGCATCTATAACTGAATAGATAACCGTAATATACAATTACTTAATGGTTTCCGTGTTTGGATGGCCTGATCCAAACACGCGGGAATGTTGCGAGGGTTAAGAAAAGCGAGCGAAATCACGAGCCGAAGGCAAGTGATTTTGCCCGCTTTTCTTAACTCGAGCAACATTCCCAAGTGTTTGGATCATTCCATCCAAACACGGAAACCATAAAGTAATTGTTTTATAAAATAACAACAACACGATAGTCTTCCGTGTTTGGATGGCCTGATCCAAACACGGGTTTCGACCAATCAGAATACGCGTTATGTACATGTTATTTTATAAATATAGCTGAATACCCTCACGTGTACAGGCTTCTGTAAGCAAATGTGATTTCACAAGACTGGTAACTTATTTCTAAATATTGAACTAAACGCCACATGCTAATTTTCATATACCCACTGCGAACAGAACCTGATTGATGACAGCTTTGCCTATTAATTTTATTGGGATTAGACATAATTGCATCCGGCGAACTGCACAAATTTTGTGCAGTTGACACCTTTTTTCGGCCGTGCGGATTCTCATGAACGTTGTTTATAGGTTATATCAGTTTTAAAAGGTAGGTTTAGGATGACTTTAGTAGCACGACGCTGGACTCTTTCGACACGTCTGATAAGGTCAATTGATTGTGGGGACCAAACCTGAGTGGCATACCCGAGGTGTGGACGAACAATGGCAAGGTATAGAATACGGCGAACGTTAACGTCATTAATGTTACTCACAGAGCGGCGAACACAGCCAAGAGATTTTTTGGCTGCTGAGGTTTGTGCAACTACCTGGGACTTCCATGACAAAGTGTTGGTTACCCGTACTCCAAGGTCACGTTCTTCGTCGAGTCTTCCAATGGGCTTACCATTTACAGCATACTCATGGATTAAAGGTGATCTTTTCTGAGTAACTGTCTGACAATTTGTTTTAAGTTCGTTGAAGTTTAACCCTGATGATATTGACCATGTGCTAAGATTATTTAAATCATTTTGCAGTAAGTTCGCGTCCGTTTTTAGTCCGTTCCCGTTTTAGTATTTGTCCTGTTATTATAATTTGAATGCCTGCCAAGAAAAAAACAACAGTGCGTAAACAGAATTGAATTGAATTTTAATTACCAAATACCAGGCCCATGAAATCCTGTGCTTGTCACTTTTTGTTGGGACATCCACAAATAACTAATTAACGTCGATTCCTCAACCAAAGACTAGCCTTATAATAATTTGTTTTTACATAATTACCTAAGCCTTAGCAACTTGAAGTGTCCTATATACAATGCAATTATATTTACAGAAAGGAAAGTTAGTTCTCTTTAGCTTTGGGTTATTAGATTGGGAGCATGTTTTTACCAGGAATAATAGTCTATACAACTCTCACAAACAGACTCGCGTTCAAAAAGCATGGTTAATTCACTCAGTAAAGGGAACCGAAAGTAAAAGTATATAGTGAATCTGTCTTCTATCTACTCTTCTCGTTTGCGAGTAAACTGTTGGGCCTACATTATGTACAATGTACAAGGACTCGACACTTTCCCCCGTTAAATTCCAAAACAGGCAATTCTCTAATTCATTGAAAAAGTCGCGACCATTGCGTGAACGCCGAACGCACAATATTGGGAAACAATACCCCTCCATATATACGTGCCCTTGGGATGTTTGCTTGAGGGCATGTTGTTGTCAGGAATAATAATTTGCAGAAACTTTCAAGTAATGACTCGCGGTTGACAGTGCATGGTACGCTTTATTTCGTTATTTATAACCTGATATATCTTTCTCTTTCTAACAATTCAATGCCTCTACTTAGCACAGGTACTATATAGCCTGCGTAGCAGTCGCTTTATTTTATTGTATGTTTTGAGGATTTTTTAATAAATGGCGAGTTAGAAAAATTAACGAAGAAAAAAGTCCTTCGCCCGTTTTCTCTCGCCATTTTCTTCTTCGCCCATTTTTTCTAACCTGCCATTTATTCAAAAATCCTCAAAACCTACAATAAAATAAAGCGACTGCTACGCAGGCTACACAGGTACATGCACGGAGAATAAAATGTTACCCAAAATTGCTAAACACTGCAGTGCGGTTGCAATCACATGTAAATTGTCTACCATGGCTATGGTTGAAATGGTTTTAAAATTAAGCACGTATATATTTGCATAAATAGAGCAAATACCAACCTTAAATGTTGTGTTTTGTAATTGACTTCACGTAAAAAATAGTAATCAGTGCTTATGACTCGTTCTTTAGAAAGATAATTCACAAAGCCACGTTTTTATAGGTTGGTGGCGACCCAATATCCATTATTAACATAACTGAATATTCGTTCGCTAAAGGCCTGATTCCACGAGCGCTTTTTGTCAGCGAAATGCGAAATAGTTCGCCTGTTTCTTTTGAATTGTGAGCAATCAAGGGGAAATAATTTATTCGAGTGGTCGCAATTCAAAAGAAACAGGCGAAATGTTTCGCATTTCGCTGACAAAAAGCGCTCGTGGAATCAGGCCTTAACGTCGAGTTGTGCATGTCAACTATTAAGGCTACAGGTTTACATTGTACCGGATAGCTTTCCATAGCGACGTGAAAAATATCAATCCGTATTTTGAGGAATTATTGCAACGTCGCTACGGAAAGTTATCTGGTATAGTGTAAACGAAGCCTAAATATTTCATTTGCATTTGTCTCGTAATTGAATTCTGAAATATCAATATTTGGAGAACCCAAAATGTGTGGACAACACTGATATGCACCTGTCACCTGTTGCGTGGTTGGCTAGCGGAGTGAACATTCCTTCAAAGATTGCAGGCGCAGGATTCAAAGTTTAAGTTCATGAATGAGAAAATTGCTTAATTTGAAATGATCATATTTCAAGGTCAAACTTTATGCTATTACATAAAATATATTTAATGTTTAGTTTTCTTTGGGAAGGGGGGCAGTTGCCCCCCTCCGCACGACGTACGGCCCTTTAGTTCTATTAAATTTTTAAAATGTTTTACAAAATACTCAAAGTTGAATTTTACACGAAATGTTTACTTAGCGCTTTAATTGATTGCGTATAATAACATCCACAATATATATTTTTACTACTGAGAAATACATGCATGCAAAAACCCCTCGCCTATATTCTCCAAACATTGTTTCAACATGAAGTATTCGTGATTACGCCAACATTGAACGCAGGCTCGCGTTGCACGTCATGTTTGTCATGGCAACACGATTATTTTTAAAATAATTTTTGTACAAACGTCAAACCACTGAGCTATACTATATTACTGGAGGACCTGCTCGGAATCAACAAGTGAAGCCAAAAACATGGCGGATCTTACGCCATTGCCACAGTGAACTCTAATAAGACTGGAACGATAACTCCTATGATTAACGGCCCTATGATTGGGTGAAGCCAAATTGAAGCACACCGTGCGAGGAAAGCTCTTTTGAAAAGACTAAGGAGAGTTGCGAGGAGTGGGAAAAATTCAGTCAAAATTTTGTTTTGGGCGGTAATGTCTAAAATGAGCAAGAAAAAAATTCTTTTTTCTTCTTTTTAGAGACCGAAATCCGATTTACTGGATAGATTAAACTGTTTTGCTTTAAATAACTGCAAAAGTTTGAAGATTATAATTTTCAGTTAAATTAAAACGACACATGTTGAGCGTGCCGAAGCAAACCTTGTTTTTCAACCATATATAAACAACACTTTAAAACATATCGACGGTCGTATATCTGTTATGTATTGAAGAATAGTATCGATGTTTGTGTTTTCAGCCTTTTAACCACACTAAAACATGAATAAATCTTGGATTTAATCGATATTTTCCACAGAAAATCCCTGTGCTTTGCTGCAGCAAAATTTGGCGCCCACAGCAGTATCGCGCGCTGTGAGTGGTTGAGCATCAAAGCGAGTCTGTGATTCTATATTCGATTACAAGCGGCATGGTCGTTGGATGCAGCTTTTGAAACTCGTTTTGATTGAAATTATAACGCCGATAAGAGCAAAATATCATCGTAAAAACTGAATTAAATCGTAAAATAAAGATCAAAGAAGCAATACAATATGAATTAAAACGAAGATGGCTTGAGAACAGCCGAAAAATTGTACATGCTGCGTCGCTGTATGAACTTGGATCTTGGGACTTTTTAATATACAGGGGAGTAAAATTTTTGTTATATTATTCCTTGTTAATATTACTGCTTTTCACTTATATACTATACTTGACACCCCAATATATCGAAATATAATATTTACTCACGATTTCACTGGTTTCTGAACAAGATTAACTTGGTAAGTTGGTGTCTGTCGCTTGGCTGCCCTTAATTGGTGACAACCGTCTCGTTGTAGCGTTTGCTGTAGGTGAATAGTCTTAGTGGAAAGTACTTGTCTGCAGTAAGTTTGATGAGTAATATACGATGGTCGTCTTCGAACACATTCTCGTTGGCTCCTTCCTGGTGATCGTCAAACAATTGCTTTGAATCCATGACAAAGTGGTGACATACCTCCATGATCATTCTCTGCTTTAATTTTTTCTCCCTTGTGATGCTTCGACCTTCCTTATATACATATGCTTTAAATACTTTTTCAGAAAACTCAACAACCTGGTAGACTGACTGTGATGGGATTCGCAGACCACCGTTATTGATAAACAATGTGAAAGCGGAAGCTGTGCTTACTTCATTGTACTTCATTGCACAGTAGTCGTGGTCAGGAGTTGGTGGGGAAAAACAGGAAGAAGACAGCTTTTGCAAAATAGACATTCAAGCTCTTGAACAAGTTTGGATACAATAAAACGTCCAATGTAAAAAGAGGACATTGGCCAGAAACTCTGATGTTGTTGTTGTATTTAAATGTTCGAGCATCATGATCTCTTCTGGTGTATTCCCCTGTGGTGCACTGTAGACTTTGCCTGTGGTATTTGCATCTGTTTCGACCAGATTATTTAGTGGTGCTTTGTGCTTCCTTGTATGGAAAAATGGTATTATGCTATGAGATGCAACACCTGGAAAACTTTGGCAATTTGCATTTTTGGAAGCTGTTATAGCGTTCCTGAGCAACATCTTTCGCATGGCGTATTTAAATTGCAAGCAGTTTGGATTGTTGTTCCAACCACCTCTTGCTCGAATGCAGGAAAACAATAGTTCAATGTGATCTTGCGAGTATTTGTATGTCAGTAAATACTTGAATGGATTGATAGTACTTGTGAACATTTCGTTTGCCATTTCGACTGTTGACTTAATTGATGCAACAAAACCAATCACAAATGTTTTGCGTGGATGTTTTGACAGCGGTTGCTTAACATCGGTATTGGTCTTGAGGCCAAGCAAGTACGATGTTGTTGATCGTAGGATTTCTTCCCAAGTATCCTTGGATGCTGGACGAAGAGGTTTTTATACCCTTTCCCCCACGGATTTCGCGAATTAAGCATGTCGAAGAGTCGGTCAATCATTCTGATAAACTTTACTGTACCATCTGAATTTTGGAATTGATTTAATTTCATTGATACATTCAAAAATTCGATGGCGTCCGCAACAGAGGAACTCAGTGTTTGTGCTGCCAGACGCACATTCATCTTGTGTTTTTGAAATTGGATATGCTGTTTCGATAACCTGTTACCCAGCGTAAATCCCTCGCTTTCTTGCATTTTGTCTAAAGATTGGAAAAAGTTCCATTGGATTAAATTATCATCTTCATCAACAAATGATTTGAGCGAACCTAAAGCATTCCTGGCGAGCTTTAACATGTGGCAAGGGTCGAGTATAACATAAACATAGTAATTTTCTGTTGGGTGCTTGAACTTCGTCACCATAGAATCAAAGGATGTGGTAAAGTCATAGCCCAATTCTCGAAATGTACTAATGTTTACTGCTGTGCCATCTGTGGTGATTGACCAAACACGCAGTCCTGCTTCTGCAGCCATTTGAAGTGCTATTGTGACAAGTTCTGCCTGTTTTTTCGATGACATTTTATCTGAAAGAAAATATCCAATTGGGCATTTCCAATGGCTTCGTGCTCCAACCAGTAAAAATACATCTGCTTCTGATGCGAGAGTATTGGTTTTTCAGATACAATTGACCCATAGACTACAAATCCTACGTATTTGTCTTGTTTGGGATCCCATAAAGATTGCTTTCTGGTTGACATTGCATCGATTACTAAGAAACGATCCTTTTTCTCTGAACTAGTGGATGCTTCCTTTCCAAGTGATTCAATGGCTTCTTTCACAAATCCTGGGTCGCACTCTAAGACGCTTGACCCCTTTCGGATGAGAGATGGATTTGGCAACGGGAGGATGGATCGCACATATTGATGTGCCTTAGGTGAGTAGTAGTGTAGATTTGTTGCAAATTCTTTCACTGGGTCAGAATATCTCCTTCCACAGGGTGTGCAACTAACATTGTTTTTAGTGTCTCTGAAAATTGACAAATTAACCCCATCAAATTTTGAATGCATTACCTCAGCATCATCTTGTTCAATTATAAACCTCGTTCCCAGGCTCTTTGCTCTTGGGAGCAAAGAGCCTGGGAACGAGGTTGGTTCAATTATTTGTTTTTGTTGAAGTTCATGAATTACATCAGCCATAGTTGTTTTTTTTTTTGCCTTCTTTCGCCTAAGTTGTTGTTGGTAGGCTCCTAATTTTTCTTTTTAATGTGTCTTCTAGTGCTGGCCTGTCGTTTTCCTTGTTCTCGCTATCCTCGAATGCTGTCGTCAATTTGCTGCAGTAAGTGTGGTCGTGCAATACCTTTGCTTCTGGGAAAAGCGAATTGTTTGACTGGTTTTCTCCTTCAAGTCGTCTGCGCAAAGATTTAGTCAAGCCAGCATTAAGAGGAGGTTTCGAAAATATTTCTGGAACTGCATTTGATTTTAATCTGCAAGCATCGTTTTCTGATGGGGGGATAATATATTCCCTTGTGTGAAAGTGGTTGCTACAGAGACGGCTGAATTCTGTAGCTTTCCAGTCTTTGGAATCATTTACACTCCTGACTGACTCCTCCCACTTTTCCAGCAGTGATGGATTTTTTACTGGAGATCTAAATATTTCAATTTTTAATACAAATTATCACCAGGGTGAATGCACATTTTTTTTATAATGTTGTGTAATTCACTAGTCAATTGAAACCCTCCCCCAACCCCCGGGACTATGCAGGGATTTTAACATACAATATCATAGGTGTTGAAATCGTGGCTCAGAAATGCTGTTCATTTGCCCTGTTTCACACAAGGTAAATCCCAGCTATTATACCTGGCTTTATGAAATTATTATGGTTAAACCCCAGTTAGTATCAAATTGGCAACATTTGTAAAAACCCAATATTTCCCCCACAAAGTCCTAGTATATGCCCGGGCCAGGCTTTCAATTGACTAGTTCATATTGTTAAACTGTATTGTTATACTGTATTATTATGTAAATGTTTGAACAGCCTTGTTATTTAAATACATTTTTGAATTTTTACATTTTGTATGTCTGTATGCATTTAGTTTGCTAGATTGCTAATGTTTACATTCAATTGTAGCACCAATAAAATGTCTGATTTTTCCTAAACTCTTTGCTATAGGAGTATAGTAGCCTCACTTGTGAAATGCAATTTGCTTTTTTTTTATTTTTGTGTTTTCTTTGAACCACTCTTGCCAACTTTATGTTTGCTAGTACAACCAGATATAACACATGCCAATGGCATAATTATTTTAATTTTATTTACTATTTAAATACTACATTTTCATGCTTTTTTAAGTTTTGTTTTCGCTTTTCCGACAATTGTTTTTGCTCTGTTTATCAAAGAAAAGACTGGGGAAAGTAGAAATCACTTGCAGACTGTTTTTGGCCGTTTTTTACAGTAAAAAATATATTTTTTCTCATAAAACCTAATTTCTGAAGGTTCAAACTTGGTTTTCTGGATAGTTCTAAGTATTCTATATCCACTAACAGCAAAATCTCGAAAGGAACCATTTTTGTATTCAAGAAAATAACAAAATCAGTATTTTCCGTGCCGAACAAATTACGACTTTCAGGTACACAAAAAATAACGTTAAGTCTTTTCTACGGCTTCCAAACATGATTTGTGCAATAGTCCAAGTATCGTAGATGTTTTAAGTTTTTATCTATGTTCTAGCATAGCTAGAAAGGCAGAAATCCGAGTTTTTCGAAGAGGTGTAATTTCGCCGCCGTACCTCCAATGGCGGCCTTCAATTTGGCTTCAAAGATGGCGGCTGAGTTATCGTTCCAGTCTTATTAGAGTTCACTGCATTGCCATGACTACTGGTCCCTAGATTCATGGCAACTACCACTGTCGTGACTGTCCCAACCGCGGTCCTAAGCTTTCGACGATGTACTTCACCCCCCTGGTTTCAGCACAGATTTCGCTTATTTTTGAGGTAAAAATCACACTGAAAATCTTGATATTTTTCTCCTATAACTTGGTTGATTTACAACGTCGAGGATCCTGCCTTTTTGCGCCGCTCGTAGATGTATGAGATGTACAAGAAGAATATTTTTATTCACCGGTAAGAATTTTATATATTCTAGAATATTTGAAGCAGATTAGCAGAAGTACACACTACAAAGTTTATACTACGAATTATAAAAGTATATGAACAGCAAATTAATAGCAGACATAACAACCTGTAAATGGTTGGCAATTCTGTAAATTTTATTGTTCTTTTGATTTGGCACTAGCCTCGGTTCTCTGTATTTGCGTAGGCTTTTATGGCTGGTTATGATTTCAAAGTCCTTGCTGTATACTGTCTGCACACTTGTATTTCTTTAGTAATTTTAGTATATTAAATTTTCCTTGACAAACTTTGAGTGATATCCTTGCCAGGTTCTTGCCAGCATTTGTTTATAATTACTGTGTAGTTATATTAAATCTCACTTACCCAACATGCAGACAAGTGAACAAATGCTTTGCTAGCCAGGCCAAAGACATCAGGTTCAAACCATTCAATACCCATTGCAATCAAGCAATTACCATAAACATATAAGCCCCCCCCCAACATAAGCCCCCC